GGGGGGAGGGTTGTTGTGTTTGGGGGGGGGGGGGGGTGGTGGGGGAGTTGATATCAGAAGCCCGGGGGTGGACTGATACCAAGATGAATATGTCGGCATTTATTTTTACACAGGAATCCTGTAGAAAGGGATCCGTATCATAACAATGTCAGCCTTTAATATGTACTAATTGTCACAGATGAGTCACCCGGGATGAGTTCTCTCTGACAAGCTTTGTCATCGCGTTCAATATTAGTGTTATGGGGGAAAATAATGAAATAAATGGAAATATTGTATTAGAGTTTAAAATATAAACCATGTAAACTGTATGTCGGGTGTCATTGTCAGTATCTGTCCTTATCATGTATGTATGGACTCTGCACAGTAACACTCCTCTCGTCCTGTATGCCGGGTGTCGTTCTCGGTATCTGTATGTATGGACTCTGCACAGTAACACTCCTCTTGACCTGTATGCCGGGTGTCATTCTCGGTATCTGTTCTTATCATGTATGTATGGACTCTGCAGAGTAACACTCCTCTTGTCCTATGCCATGTGTCATTCTCGGTATCTGTTCTTATTCTGTATGTATGGACTCTGCACAGTATCACTTCTCTCGTTCTTTATGCCAGGTGTCATTCTCAGTATCTGTATGTATGGACTCTGCACAGTACCACTTCTCTTGTCCTTGTATGCCAGGTGTCATTCTCTGTATCTGTTCTTATCCGGTATGTATGGACTCTGCAGAGTACCACTTCTCATGTCTTGTATGCTGGGTGTCATTCTCGGTATCTGTTCTTATTCTGTATGTAGGTACTCTGCACAGTAATCTTCTCTTGTCCTGTATGCCGGGTGTTATTCTCGGTATCTGTTCTTGTTCTGTATGTATGGACTCTGCACAGTACCACTTCCCTTGTCCTGTATGCCAGGTGTCATTATCGGTATCTCTTCTTGCTCTGTATGTATGGACTCTGCACGGTAACACTCCTCTTGTCCTGTATGCCGGTTGTCATTCTCGGTATCTCTTCTTATTCTGTATGTATGGACTCTGCACGGTAACACTCCTCTTGTCCTGTATGCCGGGTGTCATTCTCGGTATCTCTTCTTGCTCTGTATGTATGGACTCTGCACAGTAACACTCCTCTTGTCCTGTATGCCGGTTGTCATTCTCGGTATCTCTTCTTATTCTGTATGTATGCACAGATAAGTCATAACCAATAACGCACACAAGGAGGTTGAATCTTCCCTCCATGGTACCACCAGGATGTGGCCGCGGGGTTTTCCACACCAGCAACAGCGTAGTCCAGTAACAGGGTGAGGACAGGGCAGGAGGCGTCCAGGCAGAGTCATAGGGTGCACACTGTTGGCAGACAGATTCATAATACAAGCAGAAAGCCGAGGCCAATGGCAGAAAGAGGAATACCGGGATCTAGATTGTAATCAGGATAGCAGAACTGGATTCTCAGAATGGGATGCCACAGCACTAGCACGTATTATTATTATTATACAGGATTTATATAGCGCCAACAGTTTGTGCAGCGCTTTACAATATAAGGAAGACATTACAATCACCATGAGCAGGAACCTTCTTTTTAGACACTCGCATGGGGCACCGAGCAGAATCAAAACTGCCCAATCATATAAAAGGCACATTTACAGCCTGCAGATCCCCATGTTGGCCAGCAGATGGCATGCGGTGTGCCATAATTAACTGAGAGCTCCCCAGAATGGGCACCCCATGGGAAAATGGAAGACCACCCATGGGAGGCTAGGGGTAACTGGTTCTTGACAAACCTGGTGAAGGATTCAAGTGAAATATGCATTTTATCCCTGGTGGCCTTGATTCACGTAGGTCCTACTTGGTCCAATCAACATGGTCTTGCTTGGTAACCCATAGAAACCTCCTCTCTATCAACAGCTATGTCTGGAATATTGAATGGACGTTCTCAGCTCTGCTCTCCATCATAAACTACTATGCCGTGGTCCCCCCAGAAGAGCGGGGGACCCCCAAAAACCACGGCGGGGAGAGAGGCGGACAGCGGGGAAAGAGGCAGTCGGAGCTGAGGGGCGGACCATGGAGGGGATAATAAGTACTATCCTTGTCGCACTCCTTACCGATATGTCCCTTGTAGTGGGGGGTGCTCGCAGTGACCGCGGACGGCGCCGCGAATATCAGCAATTGTAGAAAATTCACCAGCACACCAGTCCTATTAAGATAGCAAAAGCTTCATTTATTGAAGTTTTTTGTCATATGACCAAACAAGCGCTTTCGGGACCGCACAGGGTCCCTTCATCAGGCTTTAGCATTGACGACCATG